CTTGCCTCGAAGCGAGCACCATAATGGTGGATGAGGTGAGTTTCCCCCTACTATGTAAAGCGCTTTGAGTATCTCAGTTGGTAGAAAAGTGCTATATAAATCCAATCAACTATTATTAATTGTATACAATCACATATGTCTCTTTATTATGTGTGGGAATACATTGTACAGATTTCCTAAATTAAAATCACTTGGAGCTGATTTGTCCAACAATAAATAATTCGAACCAGGATCTCTAGTGGCACAGCTAGCACTGTGATGCAGTGCCTTAGACCACTGCGCCACTCGGGAGGCTCATCCCTGGTCATCCCTACTACCTCATCTGGTGGATTCACTAAACAATTTCTGAGTGTTGGAGTGTGTCACTAGCTACCCCCCCCCCCCCCCCCCAATAATAAAAAAAAAGATTTATACTTTTACTTTTACTTTTGATACTTAAGTATATTTAAAACCAAATACCTTAAGACTTTTACTCAAGTAGTATTTTAATGGGTGACTTTCACTTTTACTTGAGTCATTTTCTATTAAAGTATCTTTACCTTTACTCAAGTATGACAATTGGGTACTTTTTCCACCACTGCCCACAGCAAGACGCTGCCAGCACCATGCTTCACCGTAGGGATGGTGCCAGGTTTCCTCCAGACTTGACGCTTTGCATTCAGGCCAAAGAGCTCAATCTTGGTTTCATCAGACCAGAGAATCTTGTTTCTCATGATCTGAAAGTCCTTTAGGTGCCTTTTACCAAGCTCCAAGCGGGCTGTCATGTGCTTTTTACTGTGGAGTGGCATCTGTCTGGCCACTCTACCTTAAAGGCCTGATTGGTGGAGTGCTGCAGAGATGGTTGTCCTTCTGGAAGGTTCTCCCATCTCTACAGAGATGTGACCATCACCTCCCTGACCAAGGCCCTTCTCCCCCGATTGCTCAGTTTGGCCGGGTGGCCAACTCTAGGAAGACTCTTGGTGGTTCCAAACTTCATCCATTTAAGAATGATGGAGGCCACTGCGTTCTTGGGGACCTTCAATGCTGCAGACATTTTTTGGTACACTTCCCCAGATCTGTGCCTCGACACAATCCTGTCTCGGAGCTCTACGGACAATTCCTTCGACCTCATGGCTTGGTTTTTGCTCTGACATGCACTGTCAGCTGTGGGGCCTTATATAGACAGATGTGTGCCTTTCCAAATCATGTCCAATCAATTTAATTGACTACAGGTGGACTCCAATCAAGTTGTAGAAACATCTCAAGGATGATCAATGGAAACAGGATGCACCTGAGCTCAATTTCGAGTCTCATAGCAAAGGGTCTGAATACTTATGTAAGTAAGGTATTTCTGTTTTGTATTTTTCATAAATTTGCAAACATTTCTTTTGCTTTGTCATTATGGGGTATTGTGTGTAGATTGATGAGAAAACTCAGTGCCTCTTTTCTTGACATCATGGGAAAATCAAAAGAAATCAGCCAAGACCTCAGAAAAATTATTGTAGACCTGGTTCATCCTTGGGAGCAATTTCCAAACACCTGAAGGTACCACGTTCATCTGTACAAACAATAGTACGCAAGTATATACACCATGGGACCATGCAGCCGTCATTCCGCTCAGGAAGGAGACGCGTTCTGTCTCCTAGAGATTAACGTACTTTGGTGCGAAAAGTGCAAATCAATCCCAGAACAACAGCAAAGGACCTAGTGAAGATGCTGGAGGAAACAGGTACAAAAGTATCTATATCCACAGTAAACGAGTCCTATATCGACATAACCTGAAAGGCCACTCAGCAAGGAAGAAGCCACTGCTCCAAAACCGCAATAAAAAAGCCAGACTATGGTTTGCAACTGCACATGGGGACAAAGATCTTACTTTTTTGGAGAAATGTCCTCTGGTCAGATGAAACAAAAATAGAACTGTTTGCCCATAATGACCATCGTTATGTTTGGAGGAAAAAGGGGGCTGCTTGCAAGCCGAAGAACACCATCCCAACCGTGAAGAACGGGGGTGGCAGCATCATGCTGTGGGGATGCTTTGCTGCAGGAGTGACTGGTGCACTTCACAAAATAGATGGCATCATGAGGAAGGAAAATTATGTGGATATACTGAAGCAACATCTCAAGACATCATTCAGGAAGTTAAAGCTTTGTCGCAAATGGGTCTTCCAAATGGACAATGACCCCAAGCATACTTCCAAAGTTGTGGCAAAATGGTTTAAGAACAACAAAGTCAAGGTATTGGAGTGACCATCACAAAGCCCTGACCTCAATCCTATAGAAAATGTGTGGGCAGAACTGAAATAGCGTGTACAAGCAAGGAGGCCTACAAACCTAACTCAGTTACACCAGCTCTGTCAGGAGGAATGGGCCAAAATTCACCCAACTTATTGTGGGAAGTTTGTGGAAGGCTACCCGAAACGTTTGACCCAAGTTAAACAATTTAAGGGCAATGCTACCAAAACCAATTGAGTGTATGTAAACTTCTGACCCACTGGGAATGTGATGAAAGAAATAAAAGCTTAAATAAATCATTCTCTCTACTATTATTCTGACATTTCACGTTCTTAAAATAAAGTGGTGATCCTAACTGACCTAAAACAGGGAAGTTTTACTAGGATTAAAAACTGAGTTTAAATGTATTTGGCTAAGGTGTATGTAAACTTCCGACTTCAACTGTATCTAGCAATGGCCAAGTTCATGTTTTTAGCTAGCTAACGTTAGCAAGACAGCTTATGTTAGCAAGCTATCCAAGTAACATTAACTAATCAGGCTACCGTAGCTAGCTAGATTGCTTTATTGTCCTCTTTGACGTTAACGTTACACAAGTAAAACTACTCACAAATGAAGGAAAGCAGTAACGTTACTTACTTGAGCAAACAAACATTGCATTCCAATCTGGTGCATGAACATATGAGAAAACAAAAAACGAGAGAAATGTGGTAAAAAAACAAAAACAAAACTATAAACAAGGTCTATTGTCTCCCGCGAATGATCCACTGGCACAGTCTTGTCTCTCCATGAATGATTCAAAATTCAGGCTAGCGAATTGGTGTTCCATCTATCTACACTGAGTGTACAAAACACTAGGAACACCTGCTCTTTACATGACATACACTGACCAGGTGAATCCAGGTGAAAGCTATAATCCCTTGTAGAGCCCCACAGTGGAGGTGTCATAATACCCATAAAACCTAGCGGTCAAACAGGGAAATGGTTCCAATCGTTTTCCACCATTCATTTTTCCCATAAAGGATTTTAGAAACACTTAACATAAGGGCTGTGTTTCGTGTAAGCTTACCCTGGCGTGACGTTTTGATAACCATGTAAATCTCTCGGACAAGGGGACTTATCAATATAGTTATCTTTCTGTCAAGTAGGTTTGATCCTAACTGGAGATAAACATGAACTTGTGCATCATGCATACACAGATGATCGAAATCTCAGCTAAACTTTGAGTGCAGGGATCTCAAGTTAGAATTCAACCAAAAATATGCATTTGATCAGGAAATCAAAAAATGTATTTGCTAAGCATTACCATTCACATTTCTTACTGTGATGTTTTATTTATTTATATTCAAAATGATTCCTGAGCTTTACATTTGTGACATTTTTGTATTATGGGTGCTCTTTGCTCTGCCATGCTTACTCTACTCTGTCTTTAAATGGGTTTCATCCACAATAGCTGTGACTTTTGACCTTTTTACTATTGAACGTTATATGTTTATTCTTGTTTGCATAAGATTATGAGATGCCTTTTCTACTCTAGAAGAAAGAAAATATTATTGTCCTTCAATATCATTATTTTCTCAAATGTTATTCCAAAACACACCAACAGGATAGGGTTGGGCATTACTGCACAAAAGGAATGTATTTCAGACCACTGTACCAACTCTGGAATAATATGTGAACTGAAGGAACTAGAGATGCCCAACAGAGAGCAGGATTTCATCAAAGGAGAGAGCAGTATAGACGAGATCAAAGAAACATGTGAAATACCATCTCCTAAAGGTAAGAAGTGACAGTGTCTCTACAACATATGGGGTGCGTTCGAAATAATTAAATAATACAAAATATATTTGTATAGAAATAAAATGGTCCAACTTGTGTTATTCTGAGCCTTGCTGTTGGAAAACCACATTAGTGTCAGACTTTCAGCTGTCGCAGATGCACCTCCCCCAACTTCACTCCTCAACTTTGGTCTGCAGTCGGTTGCTTTAGCCTTTATACATGAGTTGGTTCGTATTTCAGTCACGAAATCGGTGAAGAGGAACTGCAGAAATGTGCAGTCGACTGCAGTCAAACTTCATTACCTTTGATCACATGGTTTTTATAAAGTTCATGCAGTCGTCATGTAGGCACAAGTCGGACAAATCCCCATAATGCAACACACTTTGGAAGGTGTTGGTCACCGACTTGACAAAGTGATCTGCTCGAATGCGCGCATTCGGTCAGTCTATCGCAGAGAAAACTCACTGAGAAAATAGTGAGAGACGTGACACTCCTATGTGAAAGGCTGCCATAGGGCAGAACATACGTACACACACACACACACACGCACACACACACACACACACACACACACACACACAACACAAATTGAATGGCATTAACCCTGTCCAGAAACAACCCCTAGCTCCTATCCCCTAAGCACTGTAGATCTGAAAGAAGTGGATAGATGTAAGCAATATGGCAGAAATTCAAGCAAGCCTATCAGGAGGCAAGGTGTAGCTACTACGATATTGCTTATGGGGGGAGAGTTACTGTAGGTTGGGACATAACACTCAAGTTTCAGTCACTCAGGAACTCCCTTTCTGCTAGGTAGCAGCTGTGTCCAATCAGCATGTGGGAACCTGGCTGTGCATATTCATGAGCAGCGGCTGTGTTTGTCCAATGAGCTTGTGGGAACCTGCCTAATGGTATACATTATTCATGAGTGCAGCAGTGTCATCCCCCACCCACCATGGTAATGAGCTGTGAGGTGTATGTGTGTGCCTTGGTGTGTCTCTCTCCGTGTGTGTGTGTGTCTCTGTGTGTGTGTGTGTGTGTGTGTGTGGTGTGTATGTTTCAGTGTGTGTCTCTCTGTTTGTGTAGGGGGTCTTATGTTCACTGGGGCAGGCTGTAGGGCTGGGTTACACCTCTCTCTCATTCCACCCACCCACCCATCCCTCCATCCAACCATTCCTCCACACCACTTTTCCTGGGTGGAATTCTCGGGGCTGCGCACATCCCCCTTTGGATTCCCTACTGTTTCTGTCCCCGGCTTGAAGGAGAGGACAGGGGAGAGAGGGAGAAAGCGAGAGCAGAGAGGATTTAGTGCTGAGGAGAGAGAGAGGGATCATGTCTGGACTCTCAGCTGTGTTGAAGAGCTGGGTCATCCTGCAGACTCTGTGCCTGGCTCTGGCCCAAGTGGTGAGTGGACTGGACAGGGGAGGTTAGGACTGTACCCACATTAGGGTGGCTCTGGCTGGCTGGGGTATGGTGGGAGAGGGGTCTCCTGGAGAAAGGGACTAGGGGTGGAGGTAAAAGGGGGCTGCTAGGGGAACTGCTGTGCTTGCTATGGTTTTGTTGTCACACTGGCTAGTGGTGGTTGGAAAACAACATTTTGGAATTGGGTTGTTTCAGAAGAATAAACGATCAGAATAGTGTTTCAGAGCTTGTGTTTCATCATTGTCATCGTCATTGTAATGATGAGTCTAGAGCAGGATGAAGATCAGCTGTGTACTGTGTGTGTTGTGGAATGTGGCATTGTACATACATATCTTCCTACTTTGGACTATGGCCCTTGATTCTGTGGACGACGATTCTTCCTGAATACGGATGAAGAATGGAAACGTCTCCTTTTTTATATGGATGGTTATCCCTAAAGAACAATTGGAGTGGATACAAAACATGGACCGATTTACAATTTTTGCCAAAAAGGAGATTCAGGAGAGAGCCCTAGAGGGATAGATTCGACAGAGCGGCCCTGACACTAGAATTCGGCTGGACACACACAAGAATGTGGATATACAGAAACACAGGCTGTGTATTCAAGACACCCAGTCGCTTTACTGCGAAGCCCACTATTCAAACACACACACACACGGAATGACGGCCCTGATGACACCCTCCAACAAATCACACGCACCTGCTATCCAACAGAAAATTACCAGTGGATCTGTCTGAACAAACAGGATCATTGTGTGGAATTCCCAAAAAAAATTCTGAAAGATTGGCAGACTTCTGGAATACATCTTTACACTGTATGAGGATTCTGTGTTGTGACTGGTTGAAAAGGATTGAAATCGATTGAAAAAAGCTGCATTCCCAAAAGAAGGGGATGGGATGGGGGAGGGTCTTGGTAAACATTCCCAGCCTCATGACAAATACAGGATGTGGGATCAATACAGGATGTGGGATCAATACAGGATGTGGGATCAATACAGGATGTGGGGTCAATACAGGATGTGGGGTCAATACAGGATGTGGGATTATTTTCACTTCCATATCAGAAAAGAGAACCTCATTCATCAGTCCTATTTTTTCTCATGAGCTCCGGATAGTTCATTTTATAAATGTTTTTAAATCGTTCCATATAGGCTACCAGTGGTATTGTATTTGAATTGGCGTTACATGATTTATGTCAAAATGTGAGGGTTATGGGTGATGTTTCTAGGTGATTCATTTACTTTGGGATTATGATGCTTTGGTCTTGTTTATAGGATTTTATTCACATTAAATTTTATTGAAATATGATGACACTTGATAATGTGTGATTGCCTCACATTGTTGTGCCTCTATCAATTAGGCATATCCAAACATTGAAATTATTTCAGTGGTTCAAAAAGCACCTGCTCCAAAACTAGCCATGTCTCCATTATCAAAAGGCTTACAATAAAATGGCACAAAAATCCCAAAACGTATTCCACATGTTCTCGACAGTATGAAAACAACAGGTATTCAATTGGATGAATACCAAGAAGTGAAACATTCTAAGCCCAAATAATTCTCTACAAAACCTCTGCACATTTCTAAACCTTCCATTTTGTTCTCATTTCTTCCAGAGCGGGCCTCCAGGACCTCAAGGCATTCCCGGCCCGCCCGGCCCCTCTGGCACCCCCGGGTCCGATGGCATTGATGTGAGTATCCCCTCCGCCTTGCCCAGCGCCAACAGGTTGTCACAAAGACGGGCATTGTACCTAATGGAGCGCTCTGGTAGTAATGCGGATGTACCACCAGCGGGCGGACGGAACGAAAACACAGCGGCACAAAAGAGCTCTGTTTCCCACAGTGAGAGAGGTCTTTGAGTCAGGATCTTTCGCTCCATCCTGAGAGAGGGGTTCGGGCTAATATCGCGGTAATGGGATACCTTTGAGGTATTCTCAGTCTAAGCAAAGCCAGGTTCTGAAAACATATTGAGAATACAGAATTATACCATGAATGGAGAAGGGAAGAAGTACCAACGTGTGAGCCTAGGCCCATATGATTCAAAAGGAATGTGATGTTACAAGGTAGGCTTGTATCCAATGCGATTAGTAGGCGACTGTTTCTCCCCCAAAGCCACATAGATATACTGTTCAAGTGAATGGTTTAGGATATGTCAATGCCCTCACTGAGTTGGACATAGCGACTCATTCTCTTTCTAACTAATGGAAGGCTATGGACTGGCAGGTTGATGTTTGATGTGAACATGGATCACCTCTTCTGGGTTGGACCTTGGAATGGAAAGGGCCCCAGGGTCAAATATTGATCTACTATGATATGTGATGTCACCAAAGGGTGGGATGTAATGGGAGTGCTGTGAAACCCAATTCTGGCCAACAGTAGTTGCTGGCTGCATATCATTCCAAAAAAGTTGTTCCATCCCCTCTGCCCTTGTTCACTCTCCTTTGCAGACGTGAGTGGACTAGGGTAGGTGTCAGCAATAGCTCCACCTAGTTTCCACTATATTTACCTATCTAGTCCTATCATGATTGGAAAGTTCCCAAACTCCACCTTGAGGGCGGAGTAACCATGAGCTGTCAATCATGGCTGGATTTGAAAATAAACATTTGCCCCCATCCTCCTCTTCACGTGTGGCAAACTAACGCAATAGGTTGATGTCACTACCTAGGATGCATTTCAATAGTCTAAAGAGACTTCCTCTCCTTGTATCCTCTCCTTGTCTCCTCTCCTTACATGATCTGTCTTATCCCTGATCTGAAACACGGGCTAGATGGAAGCCATATGGAGGTTGCTTACTCAGAATTTGCTTTCACTTGTCCAGCACCTAAAGTCAAAGTCTGCTCAGATTGAGGAAAGGAGATTATGTTAGGTGGTTACTCTGGAGTATTGAGATGCAGCCATAGCCTTCTGGTTGGGTCAGTGGAGGTTCCACCAATCCCTCCAGATCAACAAGGGGCTGTCACCAAGGACTTCTATGTCAAGGGATTCTATAAAATCTGTATCGCCTGAAGAAATGTAAAGGTAATTTCCGAATGAGCCGACATATGCAGCGCTTACCGTGAATGCAGTCTGCCAATGCAGGAACGTTGCCTTTAAATTTCATTCACGCTGTAACGCTGAACTTCCGTGATACGGATTGAATAGAGCCCAAGGACATCAACGTCTTCTACATAAACTGACTTCCATGTGGTCAATATCTGGAAGTAGCAGTGTATGAACAAATTGTTAACGTCATGTCTCTCATTTTTGTTCCTCTCTCTTCACAGGGGTTAAAAGGACTTCCTGGTCCTCCTGGCCCACCAGTAAGTTACTGTGTATGCATGTTCAAGGGTGTTTGTGCAACTTACTCAATATGACAACATCTCTGATGTGGGTGAGTGTATATACCTGCCCATGGCTGTGTCTCTGTTTGTAGGGGTTGAAGGGGGACCCAGGTGAGCCTGGTCCAGACGGACCTCCAGGAGAGAACGGCATCGACGTAAGTCTCCTCTCTATCAGACGCTGAGTGTGTGAGAGAGAGTTACAAAAAGAGAATGAAAATTGATGAGTTTGTGAGGAAGAACGAGAGAGAGAGAGAGAGAGAGAGAGAGAGAGAGAGAGAGAGCGAGAGAGAGAGAGAGAGAGAGAGAGAGAGAGAGAGAGAGAGAGAGAGAGAGAGAGAGAGAGAGAGAGAAAAGAGAGAAAAGAGAGAAAAGAGAGAAAAAGTGTGTAAATGAAAATAATAGTAAACAAACAAAAAATTGACCAACTGGGAACATTTTGTTAGTCCCCAAGAGATTAAATGCTATTTCTAGGGGGATTAGGGTTAAGGTTAGAATTAGTGTTAGGGTTAGAATTACGTTAAGGGTTAGGGTTAGGAGCTAGGGTTAGTTTTAGGATTAGGGTTAGGAGCTAGGTTTAGGTTTAGGTTTAGGGTTAGGGTTAGGGTTAAGGTTAGGGTTAGGGTTAGGGTAAGGGTAAGAGTACGGGTTAGGGTTATGTTTAGGGGTTAGGGAAAATAGGATTTTGAATGGGACTGAATAGTTAAGGTTAGCTGTACAAGACTGTGTGTGTTTGTGTGTTTGTGTTTGTGTTTGTGTTTGTGTGTGTGTGTGTGTGTGTGTGTGTGTGTGTGTGTGTGTGTGTGTTGGTGTTTGTGTTTGTGTTTGTGTGTGTGTGTGTTTGTATAAACCTCCAGGAAAGAAAAGCATTGATGTAAATCCTGATGCATTAAAATATGTTCACCTGGCTAGATAGACTGAGCTTCATGTTGTTATGAATGAAGGTGGCTGTTTTGAGGAAACTGCTTTGCTCTAACCAAGGGACCAAGACTGCTGGTCTCACACAGTCACCCGCTGAGAGACATTCCACAGGGATTTGTTTTCCTGTTGATTACCTGGAAGTGTCAAATCCAATCAGGCCACTGTTAGTCCCATTGTTATAACAGGAATTTAGGTCTCACGCAGCAATCTCCACCTGCACTTGTTGTATAAGACTAATTTCTAACTAATATACTTTCTCTTCTTTACCTCCACTCACGCTCTCTCTCTCCATCACTCCATCTCAACAGGGTTTGATGGGAGCAAAAGGAGATCGCGGTCCTATCGGGAACCCTGGACCTAAAGTAAGATCCTGGGGTGCATCTCAATAGTCTAAAGCAGTGATTCTCAACTGGGTCAATGGAGGTTTTGAATGGATCGTGGGTGTCTGAGTAAATAAACACATTCATTTTTTAGTTATTCATTTTTTTATGAAAAAAGACTCCAGTCTGAACTTAAACAACTAAAACCAGGTAGAAAGTGTGTGGAAATTATAATTAACCTACATTTTAAAATAATTTAATCTCTGAACAATTTTTCTTCAATCATAGTATTTTCAATGTTTAGTTATTAGCAGCGCTATTTAGCATATTTGGCTGATTTAGTGGTCTCAAACCAGTGAGTTTACCAACATTCTTCATCAAGAATATGAGCAATATGGAATTATTTACAATTAAAAAGGTAGGAATGTTATTCCCTTTTCCTAAAATTGCTACATTTACTATCAATATAGCATAAACATATTTTTTTCTAGATTACATTTTGGCAAAAACAAATTGAGATGCGAATATTGGGTCGCAACTGAGACAAATCAAAATAAAATAAAATAAATTTTTCTTTGTCACATGCGCCGAATACAACCTTACCGTGAAATGCTTACTTACAAGCCCTTAACCAACAATGCAGTTCAAGAATTAGAGTTAAGAAAATATTCAATGTAAATAGTCTGGGTGGCCATTTGGTTAATTGTTCAGCAGTCTTATGCTTTGGGGTAGAAGCTGTTAAGGAGCCTTTTGGACCTAGACTTGGCACTCCGGTACTGCTTGCCATGCGATAGCAGAGAGAACAGTCTATGACTTGGGTGACTGGGGTCTTTGACAATTTTTTGGGCCTTCCTCTGACACCGCCTGGTATATAGGTCCTGGATGGCAGGAAGCTTGGCCCCAGTGATGTACTGGGCCGTACGCTCTACCCTCTGTAGCGCCTTACGGTCGGATGCTGAGCAGTTGCCATACCAGGCGGTGATGCAACAGTCATGATGCTCTCGATGGTGCAGCTGTATAACTTTTTGAGGATCTGGGGACCCATGCCAAATGTTTTCAGTCTGCTGAGGGGGAAAAGGTGTTATCGTGCCATCTTCACGACTGTCTTGGTGTGTTTGGACCATGATAGTTTGTTGGTGATGTGGACACCAAGGAACTTGAAACTCTCGACCCGCTCCACTACAGCCCCGTCCATGTTAATGAGGGCCTGTTTGGCCCTCCTTTACCTGTAGTCCACGATCAGCTACTTCGTCTTGCTCACATTGAGGGAGAGGTTGTTGTCCTAGCACCACACTGCCAGGTATCTGACCTCCTCCCTATTGGTTGTCTCATTGTTGTCGGTGATCAGGCCTACCACTGATGTGTCGTTAGCAAACTTAATGATGGTGTTGGAGTCGTGCTTGGCCACGCAGTCTTGGGTGAACAGGGAGTACAGGAGGGGACTAAGAACGCACCCCTGAGGGGCCCCAGTGTTGAGGATCAGCGTGGCAGATGTGTTGTTACCTACACTTACCACCTGGGGGCGGCCCGTCAGGAAGTCCAGGATCCAGTTGCAGAGGGAGGTGTTTAGTCCCAGGGTCCTTAGCTTAGTGATGAGCTTTGTGGGCACTATGGTGTTGAACGCTAAGCTGTAGTCAATGAACAGCATTCTCACATAGGTGTTCCTTTTGTCCAGGTGGGAAAGGGCAGTGTGGAGTGCGATTGAGATTGCGTCATCTGTGGATATGTTGGGGCGGTATGTGAATTGGAGTGGGGCAAGGGTTTCCGGGATAATGGTGTTGATGTGAGTCATGACCAGCCTTTCAAAGCACTTCATGGCTACCGACGTGAGTGCCACGGGGCGGTAGTCATTTAGGCAGGTTACCTTCGCTTTCTTGGGCACAGGGATTATGGTAGTCTGCTTGAAACATGTAGGTATTACATACTCGGTCAAGGAGAGGTTGAAAATGTCAGTGAAGACACTTGCCAGTTGGTCCGCGCATGCTCTGAGTACACGTCCTGGTAATCCGTCTGGCCCCGCGGCCTTGTGAATGTTAACCTGTTTAAAGGTCTTGCTTACATTGGCTATAGAAAGCGTGATCACACAGTCGTCCGGTAGAGCTGGTGCTCTCATGCATGCGTCAGTGTTGCTTGCCTCGAAACAAGCATAAAAGGCATTCAGCTCATCTGGTAGGCTTGCGTCACTGGGCAGCTCGCATCTGGGTTTCCCTTTGTAGTCCGTAATAGTTTTTAAGCCCTGCCACATCCGACGAGCGTCAGAGCCGGTGTAGTACGATTCAATCTTAGTCCTGTATTGACTCTTGGTTCATCTGAGGGCATAGCGGGATTTCTTATAAGCTTCCGGATTAGTGTCTCGCTCCTTGAAAGCGGCAGCTCTTTAAATCGGTGTGGATGTTACCTGTAATCCATGGCAGCTGGTTGGGATATGTACGCACGGTCACTGTTGGGACGACATCGTCGGAGCACTTATTGATGAAGCTGGTGACTGAGGTGGTATACTCCTCAATGCCATTGGATGAATCCCGGAACATATTACAGTCTGTGCTAGCAAAACAGTCCTGTAGCGTAGCATCCGCGTCATCTGACCACTTCCGTAATGAGCGAGTCACTGTACTTCCTGCTTTAGTTTTTGCTTGTAAGCAGGAATCAGAAGGATAGAATTATGGTCAGATTTTCCAAATGGAGAGCTAGGGCTTTGTGTGTGTCTCTGTGTGTGGAGTAAAGGTGGTCTAGAGTTTTTGTGTCATGCTGGTAGAAATTAGGTGAAATTGATTTAAGTTTCCCTGTATTCAAGTCCCCGGCCACTAGGAGCGCCGCTTCTGGATGAGCATTTTCTTGTTTGGTTATGGGCTTATACAGCTCATTGAGTGCGGTCTTAGTGCCAGCTTCGGTTTGTGGTTGTAAACAGATGGCTACGAATAATATAGATGAAATCTCTCTTGGTAGATAGTGTGGTCTACAGCTTATCATGAGGTACTCTACCTCAGGCGAACAATACCTCGAGACCTCTTTAATATTAGAAATCGGGCACCAGCTGTTATTGACAAATAGACACCCACCCCCACCCCTCGTCATACCAGACGTAGCTGTTCTGTCCTGCCGATGCACGGAAAACCCAGCCAACTCTATATTGTCTGTGTCGTCAGCCACGACTCTGTGAAACATAAGATATTACAGTTTTTAATGTCCCGTTGGTAGGATAATCTTTGTTCTGATATCCAGAAGCTCTTTTCGGTCATAAGAGACGATAGCAGCAACATTATGTACAAAA